GATTAATATGTATCAAAAATTTCAATTTTTTAAAAAATGTCTCAGAACCCCATTTTCCTAGCAAACTTCCCATATTATAAAAATCATATTTAGTTTATAAATAAAATTTAAAATTTTTAAAGTTTCATATCTTTCACTGCTAAGTATTTTGCATTAGATCATTTATAAAAATCATTATTATCATATACAATTTTCTTTTTAAAATTTTTTATCTTACAATTTATAAAACATAAAGCTTAACTTTGTCAAAAGTTACACTTACTTTATTTTTCTTTTGATTAGCTTATATTACTTTTAATAGATATTCAACTTGAAAATATTTCATTTTAATTTATTAGCTTTTAAAACAATTAAGAAATGATATAAAAGTATTGAAGAATTTATAACTAATTTGATCCTCATAACTTTTAATAAAATAATTAAATTTATATAAATTATCAAAATTGAATATTAATATGTCGATCAGGGTTCTATACTGGTTATAAGATTAACGTTAAAGTTTAGGCTAATCTAATATTTATATGAAATGTCATTATCAAAGTTGGGCGTTTTTGCACATTTTTTATTCTTTAATTTTTTTTGAAAAAAAGCAAAACAATAAAAAGTCTAAGAAATGGCTACTGAAGAAAATATCCGTGAAAGCCATATTGAAGCTGTATCATTAACTGACGCAGAGCTTGTTGAAATAAGGTATGTTCATTGTTTGTTCTTAGAAAGAACGAAAAACAAAATTAATTTTGATTCCTTTCTTATTTATATTCTACTGGAATAGGGGTAAATTATTATATTAAATTGTGAATCAAAATTTTTATTTTTCATATTTTAGAATTTTTATTAATTCTCTTTCATCATAATAGCGAGACAGCGGACCTTTGAGGGGGCATATTGGAGAACATGTCTTTCATCTTTTGGGTTTGCGCTCGTGATTCTCCGCATATTCGAGAAAGCCTTTTATAGCATTGGATTGGTCTTTATAGCATTTGGAGGTGTGATGCTATGTATTTCCGCCTTAAGAAGGCGGTATAACTTAGACATCTTTGATAATAGTAAACCATTTGTCACGAGCGGAGGATACGTTGTATTAACTGGAAGCGTGGCTTTTATTACATACTTGGCTTTATTAATTATGATTTTAAGGATGGATAATTATTTATAAGGTAAGAAAAATTATAAAAATATCATTTATTTATTTTTAGTTTATAGATTTTTTCTTAAAAAAAATGATGTCGACAAAAACTTATTATTAAAATTATGTCTTTGGTTCAGAAATTGTCATCGATTGTCCTAATTCTTCCAACTGCAAATTAAATAAATCAGTAAAACATTCATAAGGGTAGAAAACTTGATTAATTGATTTATTTCATTACCTTTCCCATTAAATTATTTAAATTTTCCATTAAATTATTTAAATCATCTTCTTTCTTTGCAAATCTTTCAGAATTTCGTTTAAAATTTTCTTCGGAATCTTCAGCTATTTCGCTTCCTAATGGCCTAAATGATTAATTTAAGTTAAATTTGTCTGTATCTGGAATTGAAGATCTTTAACGGTTAAAAAAATTATTTACATCTCCTTGTCTGGTAAATTTTCTAAAGATATATGTTCAACGGCTAAAGAAATTTGTTTGCTACGTATTAAATCCAATTCTTTAAATATACTGTCTGAATTCCTTCCTAAATAATAATTTAAAATAAATCTAAAAAAAAATTGAATACCATCAAAAATGAATTCAACTTATTTACCGAAAACTCTCATCTCTCCACTAGCAAACATTTTATCCATTCTTTTAAAATCGTTTTCAAGTGTATCCAAAACTTTTTCATGATCTGTTGGCAGTCGAGGTAATTGTGAGCCAACAAGAGTTGTAAATTGTGGTGTTGTTGGCATTTGTTTTTCCATTGTATAAAAATTCTTAAAACGAAGAATTAATTATTTTTATTTGTTGAAATTAATATTTAATGTACAATTATGCAGCCTGAACGATTTTTTCCGCGTCTCACCAGTTTGACGATTTCTGATGACATTATATATCATATTTAATAGAGTAAAAGTAATAATCGAAATAGTAATAATAATAGTATGAAAACTTCAGATTTCAAAATTTTTGTTGAAAAATTCACTTGCACGAAATCCACAAATAATCACAATAAACGGACCATTACTAATCCTAGTCCTAAAGTTCGTAATGAGTCGACGCGTAAAGGTCCTTATTCACTACAAACAAAAAAGCATGAGAGTTCTGGTCGTTCGAAATCTAAAGATTTGAAGTATCCAATAGATAATGCATTAACTGATATAATAGATCATAATTTGTTGGGTACGTAATAATCTTTTTTTAGCTTTTTATTGTAAGTAATTTATGCTAAGTTTTTCTTTTAGTTCTGTTTGTTGGGATTAACCCTGGTATAAAAAGGTAGTACTTTCTGATAATCAAATGAACTAGTTTCAAATTTTTCGAATCACGAATTCAAAACTTTAATACATGTAGCGCACAAACTGGACATCATTTTGCTGGACCTACAAATCACTTTTATCCGTGTTTGGTTGAAAGCGGTAATAATAAAAAAATTTTTTTTTGTGTTATTTATATTGAACAAAGTTTTTATTTGAATAAAATTTCATGATTTAGGATTAACAAATTATGAAGTTGTAAACTATGAAAATGATATCGAATTATCAAACAGATTTCGAATTGGAATCATCAATATTTGCTCCAGAACAAGTCGATCTTCAGCAGTAAGTAAGTTACTGAATATTTATAATTACAAGTTTCGTTAATAATTCTTTTTTTTTTAAAAAAAAAAATTAAAGGATTTGAGCAAAAATGAAATGATGGATGGAATACCGGATCTTATTAATAAAGTAGATTCGTACAAACCAAAATTTTTATGCTTTGTTGGTAAATGCGCTTATGAAGCATATGAGAAATCACGTCAAGTTTCTAATACAAATAGAGATAAATCTTTATCATTCAAATTTGGATTACAAACAAGAAAGATGTCTTGGACTGACGATACTGGATACACTAAAATATTTGCAATGCCTTCTACAAGTGGTAGGGTTTCTCATTATCTTAAAGGTGATAAATTGAAATTATTTAAAGAATTAAAAAAATTAGTTGATATTGAAAGGGGACAAGAGGTAAATAATTAATTTCAAATGGTTTTTTTTTGATTTTTTAATAATTAATAAAAAAACAATAAGTAATAATATATAAACACTGTAAATTAAGGATTATAAATAATTAATTAACTAATTATATATATATATGTTTTGAGGGAATCATTTGCATGGACCATCTAATCGATATAAACATACACCTTTTGAACTTTTATTAAACGAACATCCCCATATAACTTCACGATTTCGTCCTCTTCCCAAATGAACAACATCAACCCCTCTCACGACATTTTCAATAATTCTTCCAGTGTTAAAACTTCTTACTTCAACCATATTTTTACCGAATCCAACTACATAAGATTCACCTCCAGCCTGTGAAGGTTTAAGAAATTCAACTTGTAAAGGTGGATAAGTCCATTGAAATACAATTGTAGAAAATGGTCTTCCTTTAGAATCAACTATCATTGACTTTGAACCAAAAGTAGCAAAAAATAAAGAATCAATATTTCCGGTCTCAAATACCGGTATGGGATTTAACATTGCAGAAGGATCTTCATTTATGATCAAATTATAAGGAGGCGGAATTGTAAAACTTTCAGAGACAAATTCTGGATCAAGAGTTGGAATCCAAGGAAGTTGTGTAAATGTTTGCCAAGTCATGTGTTCTGAATCATTTGATGAAGAATTTTCACTTATATTAGGAGAACGTAATTCTTCTGAAATTGAAATTTCTCTCACACGTGCATCTTCGATGCCTATACATATAACTTCTGTATGAAATACTGCAATGATATCAATTAATTGATCTTCGTGCACTGACATTTGAAGAAATTTCGGAGTTTGAGGTAACCAATAAGTTCTAGTATGTACAAATTCTGGTCCTCTCGTTGAGTCACCAAAATCTAATTCAAACAAGAAAATATTTTGTTTTGATAAAACAGCAAGGTACGTTCTCGTTGGACCACTTCTTACTACAAATGTAATTGCCATCTTTGTACCAGGAAGTTTAAAATAATCTAATGACCATTGAACAGGAAGATTTTGTTGCTTTTCATGTACTTCTGCTGAAGCGACAGAATTCGTTATTAACGATAGTGGATTTTGATGGCTAGAATGTCGCGTATGTCGTCGAAGATGTCGAGATGAAGGAAGACTTGAAGGTCTAGAGGAATTACCATCTATTTCATTTTCTTGTAAAGAACTTGAAGAACTTGCTGTAGATGAATAATTTCCGGTAATTAAATCCAAGTCTTCCATAGTAGTTGACCTTCTTAATGGTATATCGGGAAGTTCAGTTCCTAAATTTTGTGAATTTAAATCTGAAATTGAAAAATCTATAGAATTCATGGATCTTGCTCTTCCATGACTTACTGGTGACTTTGGAGGAGTTGAGGTTTGTGAGGTAACTTGATGCGATTGACGTGATATTTTACTTCGAATTAATAATCGCAAACTACATAAGTCATAACATCTTATATGATTGTTTTTTCCTGCTAAAGTTAATAAAGCTCCGTATCTACCAGTTTGTAAAACCGATACTTGCTTAAACCGCACATCATGTATAAGTCTTTTTGGTGTTTGTTGTTCGGAAGGAAGAAGTAAATCTATAAAATCTAAGCCAGAATTAGTTCCCAAAAGAAAATATTGGTCGTCAAGGATATCCCCACAAAGATATTTATCTTTTGTATAAAGTACACTGCCAAGAGTATGAAGTTCAAAACATGAACCAGAGGTTGAAGGATAAAAAGAGTAAGCGGGTGCTCTATCATGAGTTAATCTATTCTAGGGAAAAAGATTTATTAAAAACATAGTCGGTTGTTACAAGGATTCACAAGTAACAATAATAATAAAATTTTAAAATTAATTTGTTTTAAAGCTCAAATTATCTGAGAACCTACTAGATCATTTTGGTCTGTTTCAGTAAAGGGAGGTGGTGGACTTAAAGGTTCCGAAGATGGTTCCGACCAAACCATTAAGCTAAATTGAAATAAATTATTTAATAATACTATCTATATTAGAAAAATATGGAATAAAACAAAAAAATTTCTTTTGTTCAATTTGAAAAAGAAATATTACAATAATTATTATAGTCTCTATTAGTCTTATTATAGTTTATGTAAGGTTAGTGTAAGTGGCGGTTTTTTTTTCTGCCGGGTATTTGCTTGTACGCGTCCAAATGAATTGCAAAACTGCCACATCTTGCGTACACAAACGCGCCACATGATTTTGAAATCTGCACATGACAACAACAAGACATGCACAATCATTGGTATTTGCAGGCTTCTACATATCGTTTCAAATATAGTATTCTTATGAAAGCACTGTTACCGTTACACAATCTTTCTCAAATAGATTACTATAATAATTCTAATAATGGTATCATTTAATAGAAGACGCGATATATAAATTTGCTGCGTCTTCACTCAATAAAAAGGTTTAAAAAAGTTTGAAGTTTTGCCTTCTGTTAAAACTCAAAGCAACTATGTCATATCCCTTAGGAAATTATTTTTATAACAACGGAGAACCCTCTACTTTAGGACAAAGTTCCTCAAGTCAAAGTTTCTTTGACGCGTCAACAACCGACAAAAGAGACTACTCTCACCCTCCTCTTGGTAAAACTCTAATTAACGACTTTCGCGATTTAGTGGGCACCAGTGTTTCTCCTTCTGTCTTGGAAAATTTGCTCAAAACTTCCAGCGGTAACCTAGAATTAGCCGTAAATAATTATTTTGATAACAGAATGGACAAAGAAAACTTGGTTATTGGAGAGTCTGAACCTTCTCGTCCCGCTTCTTTGCGTCGAAATTTAAATTCCATTAGTTACTCCCCCGACCTCGTTGAGCCACCTAGTAGTAAAAGGCCACGAAGGCATACTAGCGCACGTGACTGGAAACGAAAGCACCTTGGCAGCATCTTGGTCAACGGCCAATCAACCGTAAAGAGCGAACGGTCAATAAATCCTGGAGATAAGGTTACTTTTCAAAGTCAGGTATTTTATCATAAACAGCCAAAAGGAAAGAAACGGACAAAAACAACTTGTTGGCAAAATACTATTTTGAAGTTCAATTCTGGAAATGGAACTCAACTTGGAATAATCGACGATAATCAGCTTACTTATATGGTTGCTAATTTGATGGATGCTGGAGTATGTGAATTTGAGGGGGAAATAGTATATATAGGTGATACTGATGAAATTAGTGAAAATGATGAAATCTTGATTGATATGAAGATTTATATTTTGGTATGTTAAATTGAAATTCATCTTAAAAAACTTTTGAAAATATTCTAACAGTTCCCCTTTCTTATGTGTTTTATTTTGATATATAGTACGCAGCGTTTTCGCGTGAGCCAACTTTCTCTCTTTCAAGAGAGAATACAAAATTCATTACAACAGGTCCAAATTCCATTGCGGATCATAAAGCCAACGATCGAAAAAATGCCATGATGTACATGTTCGAGCAATGTAAAATAAAGGCCAAGCAATCGAGTATGTTAACTCAAGAGCACAAACAAGCTGGTACATTAGATGCAGAAAGAATTCAAGATCATTTTCAAAATGAAGAATGGACCGGCTTTAGATCAGCGTCTATCCATCAATCTCTCTTCAATGAGGAGGAAGAAGAGTCATCAAAGTTCTCTGATCAACAATTGAACGCGTTATATGAAAAAGCTCAAAGACTTGACTTGAACATTCCTGAAGCTGAACCACCAGCGCATACTTTCCTTTATAAATTGAGAAGATATCAAAAACAAGCTCTTCATTGGATGCTTTCGAAGGA